ATATATTCAAATGATCTCACCCAACTCAAAATTTTTGAGGGTCCCATCAAATCATCTCAATAGTTTATGTTGGTTTCACTGTGATTCGTTTGATGGTCTCCAACATCATTATGCATTCATGATTTTTGTATGCCAGCAAACATTCATCATTTAATGATGTAAAATGTTACTTTAATATTATGATGGTTAACCATAAAGAGAGGTTTGATTCTCTGCGACCAACAATTCATGTTGGTTTCAACTATACATTTCCAGAGGTGCCAACTGCTCCGGACTCGCCAAAATAATTAAAAAAACGGTAAATAATTAAAAAGCAAATTTTGCAAATATATGACTGTTATTGCTTGCTTTTGAAAAGGCATTGTATGACATTAATACTATAAAGTGGTGAATCATATAAGCCTACGAATTATTAAGAAATAGTGGTGGATAAAAATCCACTAAATAGAATTTATTAAACCGAGAATCACAATTGATAAACTACCACTTTAAAATATATATTTGCTGTCCGGAGCAAGTTGGCATCTCTGCATTTCCACGACGGTTCTACGATAGGAATTCTTGTTGATTTTCAGGAATACACCATCAAAACAATTTGGTATTTTTAATGTTGGCCCATCATGAATCTGTCCGAATTCCTACATTAGGAGGATGGTTGTTCTTAACCGTTCCGACATTTGATTTCTATGAAACTGTGATGGAAATTTCTGATGGTTTAACATGAACAAACCATCAAAGCAAGTTTCTATTCCTTTGTTGGACCATCATGAACCAATCTATATTCCTACATTGGGGTGATGGTTACTTATGTTGGTTACTATCGAAAATATAATGGTTCATGATGGTATTATTGATGGTTAATCCCCAGAATTATATTAGTCCATCAAAAGTTTTGACTTGGCCTGTCTTGTGTCTCTTTGTTTTCTTTTTTTTACCCGTCATACTATATTCCCGTGACGTTTCCGACCGTGGATTGCTGTGTAATTCTGAATCTTTGTGATGTCCCCTATCTCCCTTAAAGTTTGTCCCTGTTATACTGGGGCACCTATATATACTCTGATTCTTAAACTCTCTAAAAACATTTAATTCTTATATGCTAATATTGAACTGAAAGAAAATGCAATCATCTTACAAGAATGCAAAATTCACAAAAGCCTTTTCATCTGGAAACTCTTTCTTTTCAGATTTCTTTCTGAAAAATAAAAATAATATGTTTTAGATAATAAATTTATAATTAGTCTAACGAAATCAGTATTAAGATGGAAAAAAGAAAGCTTATCAAGATTAAAAAGATATATGAAAATAAACGAAGTGTGAAACCGTGCATCAAACCATTAAAAAGAAGACAAAACTTGATTTTTCAATAACAAGCATACTTGTCTTGTTGTCCGTTAAAAATCCATAGTTAGTGTCATTTTGTTTAGATTTTCATATAACACCAATTATACAAAATTCATGGAATATATATATCTATTTGCAGTTCAACATAATGAAAAATCTCTAAGCATGATGAACTAATATTGACTTTATTTGAAAAAAGCAGGGATAACCTGGCAGGTAGGGCGTCCATTTCCGAAAGGTCGGAGTTTGATGCCAGCTGCCGAATACTCCCCGTGTATAAAATGATTCCTGCCGCACACTAAATCTATCGAAGTCACAAAGTCCTTCAAGTTCCCATAATTACAATCCACGTGAATAATTACAATCCACAGCAGATGGATGGGTGTGTGTGAATGTGAATCGTCAGCAGAAGTGTTTCCCAGACCGTCGTTAATAGCCTATTATGCAGCTCTAGTGCGACGTAAATATAAGTATCATTTGGAGAGAAAAAATTCCACAAATTTGATTACTAAAGTTGTATTTAACATCAGTTGATAGATTTTTTTAAAATTATTTTCAGACACCGGCCGAGTGTTATCGCTTGCATCACGCTGTGTAGCGTTGAAGTAGCGGGTTCGAATCCCTCCTTAAGCCTGGATATACGTTTGTTATATCATCCTCTAATTTGTGCGATTTTTTTCTACCTCACATGGGAATTATAGCTATACTATGAATTGAGCATGCAAACTTTCATATTATGCGCGTCAAAAAATTAAAAAAATATGAAATTGGGGCCTACCTAGCTGAGCTGTCTCGCCGTTCCCCAAACTACTCTGTAGCTTGAAGGTGGCATGATATATATATATATGTGGATGAAAAGGGAACTCCCATTCC